AGAAGAACATAGATTTAGACACTGAGTTTAACTGTTGAAACTGTATGGAATTTGTATGTGCTTGGCAGACCTGTTGGATTTTGGATAGTTTAATTCTTAATTATTTTAGAAGTTGCTGTGAGAGTTGTTCACTGCTATTTTCATACTCAAAGAACAGAAATAGTTGCTAGGAATCTATGTTTTCCTAAGATAAATTGGTGATTAAATTTCTAGAATGCGGAGCATCAATCTGTTGAGCAGAAAGTTATAAGTATGATAATTTACTTATATTTATGTTGCATGCCATGGAAATGAATGAGACAGTATTTATTTAGGCTCTGTTAATTATATGGAAATTGGGAATAGAGTTATAATACAGATACAGTCCTGTGTGATCAAGTTATGGTTTCTGTATTGGTTTAATTAAGCATGCTTGTTAATCTGCTCTAACATGCTTAGTCTGGGATTCTTGGTATTGACATTTATGTGGTCAGTATTTTATCGACTGTTAATTTAATTAAGCATGTTTGATAATTTGCTTTAATATGCTTTGTATGGAGTAGTTGATACTAATATTTATATTTTCAATGTTAATTAATTATTGGTATTATTTAAGAATGGTTGCTAATACATTCTAGTATGCTTGGTATGGAACTGTTGATATTGTTATTTAATTGTAAGTACTATATTAACTGTTGGATGGATTGGATTGTATGCACCGGTATGGGACGGTGTCATACTAGGTTTGGATTAGCTCAAAAGAAATTGCTAAGTCCTACCTATTTTGGAATAAGGGCATGGGTTATTAAATAAAATCCTCCTTATATTTATGAGTCGGTTCGGTTGAATACGTCAAACAACTCATTGGGTTTCTTGTGGATGGTTAGGAACGGAGTTTAGATATATTTTTATGATACCGCGACATGAGCTTGAGTCTCAGTGTCGACGATTAGGGTGCGTATATGCAATTGGATATGAAGCTAGCTGTGAGAGTTGAGGTATACCCTGTTTAGGTTTAGTTACTCATGCCCACTCCGGTGCGTTTTGTGTAATACCTTCTATTCAGGTTGAGACCCTCTTCATAGTCTAGCGAGAGTCCAGTAGTGTGGATATATTTACGTATGGATTATTAGTTATTGTTGAACTATTTAGCATGTACATGCGTATCGAGCCTCTGCTTGGATTGTAGTAGGATAGAACTTGTTCGTGGGCCTGACCCACTCCTCTTTTTCAGGTGTACGTCAGTTCCAAGCTTGAGCTTGTTTGTGCTAAGCAGAGACGATCTTCCACTCTACCAACAATGTAGGACTTCTTTCCAGATAATAGATTTGGATTTTATCTTCAGCTTTACTTTCATTTCAGTTTGGGATTTTATTAGGGGTCCATTGGAGATGGACTCCCGAGTTGTTTAACTTATGGAGTTTTGGTTTATCGAATTTTAAGTATTTAAATTATTAAGGATTGTCTTTTAGTTTTCTTTCAGCTATTATAATTTTTAATTCTTATTTCATTTAGTAATCTGTGTTCGTTATAACATATTAATTGTTTGATATCCCTCGGGTTTGGACCTGGGCCTGATCAACCCATGTCTCAGATCTGAGGAGTATCATAGTTGGCTATGGCTCAGAGTAGGCAAAAAAGTTATGCTGATAGGAGGAAAAGATCCTTTTCTTTTGAGGTAGGAGACCATGTCTTTCTCAAGATTTCTTCACACAAGGGGCTTATGAGATTTCGACAAAGTGGCAGTTTGTCTCCTAGGTTCATTGGACCATTTGAGGTTTTGGACCACGTTGGTAAGGTCGCTTATTGGTTGGCATTACTGCCACATCTGGACAGGGTTCACGACGTTTTTTATGTTGAGGAAGTACGAGCCAGATCCATCACATATTTTGAGGTGGACAGATATTGTTGTTGATGAGGATGTGACCTACAAGGAAGGTCCAATCCAGATTCTTGACTCTAGAGAGCAGATCTTACAGACCAAAACCATTCCGTTGGTCAAGGTTTTGTGGAGACATCACGGAGTCGATAAGGCTACTTAGAGCTCGAGTAGGAGGTTCGCTCTCGGTACCAGGGTTTGTTCGCGATTTCAGGTACGACTTGATTTCGGGGATGAAATCCTTTTAAAGAGAGGAAGTTGTGATGATCGTGTCATCTTTCTTCCTTTTTTGGGCACATTTTTTTTTAATTTAATTTAATTTATTTAATTATTTATTTCTTTTCTTGTTGCCTTAGGGTTTTGTAGGACCCGAGGTAGGGTTTGGTGTCCGGAATCAAATTCCGGCATCCCATGAATTTACATTATTTTATTTTATTGTCAATGTATAGCTTAATTGAGTAGAAAAACATGCTTGTTTAATTTCATTTCCTAGGGATATGATTGCATAGTTTCTTCAGAAACATTTTAATTTTTCGGGGTTATTTGTGTAATCAACTTTTTGAGATATTTTGGCTTAGGGACCTTTTTCTAATTATTTTTGTGAGATATTTAGAAGAGGGACTTTTTTGTAATTTTTGAAAAGTATGACAAGTGCAACCTTTTCCTTGGACCATTTGTTGACTTTTGGTTGGAAACACTTGGAAGGCCTAGATGATGACAAGTGTAGGTTGTAGATTGAATCTTGTGAGGGTGTATAGGATTGTGACAAGTGGAGGGTGGAGATTAAAGTGTGTGAGTGAGAGGTATTGCTAGTATAGTTTAAGTGTTTTACAACTCCTTTAGTTAGTGGAAAAGTTAAAGATTTTGGTTGTCTTCTTCATTGCTCTCACCTAGCAACCATTGAAGACCTTAAATCCTAGCCTTAATACCTTGTTTTCAAGCACCTTCCACTAACCTTTTGGCCTTGCTCTTGGAAGACAAAAGCTCCCTTGCACCTTCCTCTACAACACCTGGCTCTTGGATTCCATTTTGCTTCCATTTTTCCTTGGTTTCTAGAGATTTAATTCTCTAGTGAGGTAAGGGTTGTTTTATGTTTATACCCTTAGTGTTTTAATGTCTTATTTGAAGTTAATATACATTGTATGTATGTTATATGAATTATAGGGTTGCATATAGATGAATATTGTATATAATTAACCTTGGGTTTCATATTGGCTTGTATATGATCTATCTCTTGTATTAATGTTATTTCATTTGGTGGAGAATTAAATTCTAGAGATTTCTTAAAGTTGTAACTATGAAGTTCATATATGATTCTTGCCAATGATTTACTAGTGAACTTAATACTATATTGTTTTGTGATCAAGGATTTGAAATTCACTATATATTAGCATGAATGGATTTCCTACGTTGACAACATTGTAGTAGCATAGTTTTATTCACATAATGAACTTGTCATTGCAAATGTCATTGTAGTTTGAAGACTTAGAGCATGGTTTGTACTGTTTCAAATGTTGGTTGTGCATGGAAAGTGGTTAGGTGTATTGTATACCTATGTGGTTGTTATGACACTGTTGTTGATTTTGGAAATACTTGGGGCATTGTTTTATCGACATGGCTAGGGTACGAGTTCTCCCTAAATATAATGCGCACTTAAGTGATTCCTTATGGGTTAGAAGTCCAATTGTCTTGATTGTGATGTTCATAACTGGATGCTCGTGTCCAAGATATTCCGTTTATTTGATTTCGCGTTTCATTTTACAAGTTGACATTACATTGCAATTGTAACTTGTTGTATTATATTAGAGGTTCCAATATTGTTAAGTATGTTACCTATTGTGGATTGCTTTCAAAATGTTTTAAATATAGCTTTAGGATGATCCCTTAGCTTCCCCTTGAAACTAGACGTTAGTGATAAGTGCTGAATATTGCATATTCGAACCCCTAAATATACGTATATTAAGACCTAAAGTGATACTTCTATCAATTGTTAGACTGATTTATGTTTTATTTCGTGTTTATAGGTACTTTCCAAAAGAAATGGTTAGAACCGGGACTTTAGGATGAAAAGATTGATATCGAATGTTATAGAGTCGTTGCCAATCATCTGAAGCAAGTTAGGAGTCAAAAAGGTGATTTTGAAGAAGTTCAAGTACCAAGGCTCGAGCCTATGTTCTTTATGCTTGAGCAAATATCCAACTGAAGTAAGGAAATCAACTAAGGCAAAAAGGCTCGAGCCTAGATCTTAAGGCTCAAGCCCAACTGAAAACACACATTGACACCATGTGGAACCGGACACTGTGAGACAGAAGATTTCGCAGAAGGCTACTTTTAGATGGCCGGAAGATGGAGATGGTCGGTTAGCATCATTGCATGAAATTATATGGAATTATATGCCCATATTTTAATTGGAGGGGCTATTTGCTGCAAACTTTTTTATATAGCAGGGATAGTATTAGGGCTGCAACTCGGCCGGGTTGGGCGGGTTTGAGGTATAACTTATGTCCAACCTACCATATAAAATGATAAACCTAAACCCAACTTAACCCTATCTTCAACTCTAACTACTTAACCCGAGCCCAACCCATCCTTCTACTTTTAAATTCGGGCTTGTAACTCGAGCTTAAATTTCATGTTAAAAATTGGGACGAATTCGAGTTACTCGTATAACTTATTATCACACTAAAAATTTAACATGATATTCAATTAATTTTAAATTAAATTACTCTTAAATAAAAAAAAGTTTAAAGACATTTTATACATATTGAATAAATTATAAACAAATTCTTAGAAAATTAATTATCTTAAATATTAACATACAATAAGTTAAATTTAACAAATGAAATTGAAAGAAAAAGTTAATCCTAATTTAAATATTATATATAATGTATTTAAAATTTAAAATATATATGAAAAAATATTAAAATTTGAGTTCGAATTTGCTCGGATTGCTAATACCTTAATTCAAATCTAACCCTTATTAAATTCGAATTGTGATTTTTTAACCCAGATTCAATCTTATTTGTAAAAATAATTATCCAAGAAAAATCGAACAAGCTCGGTAGGTTCGGATTGTCCAATTCAAATTACACCCCAAGATCGTTTACCTTTTACTCAAAAAGAAATACCGAGAAAAACTTATAAAACCACTTGTTGATCGGACAAATTGGGGTCGCCCAAATAGTAACTCACGAAATTTTCTCCATCTCGGAGCATGTAATATAGATCCCATCCTCTCCATCTCTCTGATCACACACGCCAAAAACGTCCTCAACTTCTCGAAACAATTTAGAATACACAGCAGTCTCTTCACAGCGTCTAAGCAATGATGGAATAAGAACGGAAGAAGAAGAATGCTTAAGAGGAAGAAGATGAAGCTGAATACTGGCTTCACCTTCTTCTAATAATTCATGGCGAGTTCTCAACATCGCTGCGTTTTTGGTTTGTTCTCGATTTCATGTATTATGATTTATTGATAGATTGATTCTCTGTAAAGCTCCGTTGTGAATGAGAAATCGTGTAAAAAAAAAAAGGAGGATACCCTAACCTGTTACGAGATTGGGAGTTTTAATTTTCTTATCTACACGTTCTTTCTTGGCAATCAAACGGAGTTTTATGTTATGTTATTTTGGTGATTGGGTTTTGTTTGCTTATACTTGTTTTGTCCGATTTTGTGTCAGTTGGGAACATACCCTATGATGCCACTGAGGAACAGCTTGTCCAAATCTGTGAGGAAGTTGGCCCTGTTGTGTCGTTCAGGTCAGTTTTATATAACTAAACTGAATAAAAAAGCCCTAGAACCTACTCTCTTTTAGTATGAGCATCTTTAAAGGTGAAATAGTTTCATTTGTGATTGCATTTGAATTTATAAGTTATCTGAAGTCGCATTTTGTACTAATTTTTCACTAATAAGATATTGATTACAAAACTTTGTAATTGTAATATGTCATAGTTGAGCACAATCAATATCAATTTGGAATTTTTGGAGAAGCTGAATGGGAAACTAGAGTCTGTGATTAAGCGGATAGAGGGGAGATATTGAAAAATATGAAATGATTTCAGCTAGTTGATTGTGTATGCTAAACAGAACTAAAAATGAGTTAGCTCTAAATGTCAAGATATGAACTCAGAATTGTATTGTGAGAAATTTATATTTGGAAAAGTTTTGATAGTACTCTGAGATGAGGATTATGCATCATTTTTTAATGTCAAACTTATGTTGAAAAAGAGGCCAACGGCTGTCTGAGCAGAAACTATCTACCAAAAAATAGGGTTGGTCAAAGAGTAGTGCCTGCTACACTTGTAAGGGAACAAGAAAATGGAGTAGGCGGCTCAGATGTTTGTGAAACTTCTAAGAGGAAGATGTCTGGATAACCAGGAATCCCTTGCTTCTACCGCCAGAGATTGTCACATAAACTTGATCATTATTCATTACTCTCTCATAATTTCCCTGTTACCTGGTACACATACCCATGAAGGCTACAAGATGGTATCACTGCCTCATTGAGGTGAATGAGTGTCACAAAACTTAAATTCACTATTTCCTTGGATCTTTAACACAACTTAGGGGAGGTGGTTTTATCATGTATCTTGCACCAACGCTTGTTAGTTTAATGCAATCAAGGTTTATAGACAAGCTTATCTTTCCCTTTGATATCATGAAGTGGAGGTACATGATTTTTTACCATGATCTGCTAGAGTAGATGTCGAAAGACCTCTTTGTGAAGTTGTTTTTTTTTGGATGAGGATATGTTGACCTAAAGGTTTCATACCTAAGGGTAATTGAAATATTTTGATGATAAAAAATCATTGAAGGTGTTAGTTTGTAAAATCTACTTGAGTTTGTGCTGAGCAGATTATTTTTAATAAAAGTCAAGATTAGCCAATGTAATGCAATTAGCTTATGAAAGAGAAAAAAAAATCTGTAAGAAGGAAAACAGATAGCTAGATCAAGCTAGGATTAATGCATTTAGTATATGTATTTGTCAATATATAATTACTACCATGTGTTTGTATAATTAATTATATATGTATGGTGTGTGAATGCATCTTTAGATAGCTCATCATTGTAACCATCACACTTCTCTAATCAAGCCGAATGCAAATAACAAGAAACGAATTAAACAAGAAAGTAGATTGTAATCCAATCAAACCAAATCAAGTTAAATAATTTAGAACTAATTCAAGCTCAAACATCCATCCTCATAGCAAGCCAAACAACTAAACCATCCTAGTTGACCGAGCATAGAAACCATCCTTAGGAGTTCACCATTAAACTGCCAACTAGGTTCATAGATCAACCTAGAAACCTGTCTAAGGAATTCATCTTTAGATATTCACTGAGGTTCCATTAACATTAGAACTCTACCTTTAGGATCCTTAGATAATTGTGCAAAATGATCCATAGTTTGTCATAAACCCAATTCACCCCCCTCTTTGGGTTAGGATCTGGGCAACAAGATATGTTTTGCCTTTTGGTAAACCGTTTTTCCCACACCCCCACCTCCAGGGGCCTTCTTCTCCTCTAGTTCTGTTGCAGCCCACAAGCAAGACCATGAGGGAAAAGCTGACTTAAGGATCTTGGCAATTTCAAATATTCTTCCCTTACAATTGAGTGTCGGTTCTGTCTTTCTTCAAAGAAGTAAGAACAATGAATAGCTTGATCAGAATTCAGAAGAGCTCAGCTGGTTAAGAAACTTGATTTTAGAACTCGGATCGAGGATCCACACCTTCCTGACAATGCACCCACATTGTTTCCAATGAGTAGTATATCATCATAACGAGGAGGTATGCTTTCAAGAGTGTATTACGTGTAAGGGGTCCCTTCCTTTGAAATGCAGGTAATTGTTGGGATATGTCCTCCCCCTCCACCCCCTCCCCCCCCCCCCCCCCCCCCCCCCCCCCAACCAAAACTTTCAAAGTGGAAGGTTGATACCCCTATAAGTGGCAATTGTAGGTGTGTACGTGTGTTTTTGTTTTGTAATTTTGATTTGTCATTTTCTTTAAAAAACACTCATTTGTTCTACTTTCAAAGTGGAAGGTTGTTGAGGGTTGATACCCCTATAAGTGGCAATTGTAGGTGTGTACGTGTGTTTTTGTTTTGTAATTTTGACTTGTCATTTTCTTTAAAAAACACTAATTTGAATGTTCAATTGTTTTTTTCTTTCATTCAGGCTAGTCATTGATAGAGAAACTGGGAAACCAAAAGGTTATGGATTCTGTGAATATAAGGATGAAGAGACAGCTCTGAGTGCACGTCGTAATCTTCAGGGGTATGAGATCAACGGCCGGCAATTGCGAGTTGATTTTGCTGAAAATGACAAAGGCACTGACAGAAACAGGGATCAGGTAAAATCTTTAGATGTCTACCTAACTAACACATCTACTAATTATTTTTTTTTTTCCTGTTTGTGTTTATTTTATTCATACAAAAATAGAATACAATATGTTTTTTTTGGTAACGAAGAATCAACCCACCCGCTAGGCGCTAGCCACTTTGGACTCTTGGATAGTTTGCAATACCTGCAAACCACGCATATCATTTAAGCCCGGATTTATTTACGCGTTACGAGAATTGAACCCATGTCATCCGAGTTTACGGTTCGCCTTAGGAGACCCCTTATCCACTGGGCCATCCATGCGGGTTAAGTACAATATGTTACATAAGAGAGAGAGGGAAAAAAACCCTCACAAACAGAAAATTATAAAGAAAACATAACCAAAATCAAAACAGCAAGACTAAGGAGAACATCTAGAAAATTATACCTGACTCCCATAAAGTGAATTCCATCGAAACAAGCATCAATAGCTAGCTGAGTAGGAGTTCTGCCGGTGCCCATAGACAATCTTCCATTCCCCTCTTTCCATAAGTGCCTTACAATTGAGGAAAAGAAGCAGCAGGAGAGTTTAGCTTTCATGTTTGCAGCTGAGGAGATAATGCAAAACCAATGGACCAGCTTTGAAAAGTATGGAGCTGAGAATTTGTTGTGAATCGGTGACAAAGATCAATAAACCAATGCCACACTTCTTTAGCGTAGGAGGATGTTCACATCAGATGGCCTAATGAATCATCACCAGCAAGGTTGTTATGGCATTTATAATTTAATATAATCCCTCTTATCATTAAGTTACAAAAAGTAGGAAGGGAACATTAGAAATGGCTAATAGCATAGTATAGGAAACTCTTGGCCTGCACTTTCTCCGAACAAGTTTGTACCAACTAACTTATATTCAGATTCCACACTGATTTAAAGTTGAAAACTCAATGCTTCCAAACAACTCTGTCTTCCTTGAATGGTTAACAAAGGAAGACTATTGATAGACAATTTCTTGTGGCCTAGACTGAGGAATATGCCAAGTATTACTTTCCAAAAGCACTACAACAACTGCATCTGTACTTAAGTATGGAACACTTCGAGCTCTTTATCTAAAAGCTTGAATAAGGGAGGACCCTTGAACCAGGGATAAGTGAATAAGCAGAACTTCCTGACTGCAAATCTGGAAAACAGTATTATTCAATAGAAAAGGTCTCACTGCTAGCAAGCTTCTCCATACAGCCGAATCTGACAGTTCGGTTTGCAATTCCAGAAAATTGTCTTTCTAACATATTAATCTTTGAACCATGCGATCCATGAAAAAGAAAGCAAGAAAAGAAGTTCCAAGCCAGTACACTTTGATGAAGAATCAATACTTTGTAAGGTTCTTAAACCAAAACCTCCCTCAGACTAAGGTAAAACGATAGAGTCCCATTTTGACAATTGCATAGTCTTTTTCTCTCCTTTCCATCTCAAATGAAGTCACTGATTATCCCTGCTATGAGCTGTTGCACAACAGTTGGAATAGTGAAAACAACCCAATAATAGAAGAAAGAGGAGACCACTGATTTAACTAGCTCCTCTCTTCCTGCAAGAGACAAATTGAAGGTATATCTTGACCTAAGTTTAGCATTAACCTTGTCAATCAGAGCAGTGCGAATTGAAGGTATATCGTGACCTAAGTTTAGCATTAACCTTGTCAATCAGAGCAGTGCAACGAGTCTTCTTTAATTTTTGTTCAATCATAGGAAGGCCCAGATAGATTACTGTAAGAACCCCAGTTTTGAATTGCAACATCTTCAAAATAGATTTCTTTATTTTCATTGATTTGGAGAAAAAAATTAAACTCTTCTCTTTACTCACTGAAAGTCCAGAAACTCTTTCAAAATAGGAGAGTAAAGAATACAAATTTCTAGCATTCTTTACACTAGCCCTTAAAAAAATGAAGTAGTTATAATAAGCAAAGAAGAAATTTGACTGTTTTGCTCCGCCTTGACAACTGAGTTTGCAGGATCAAAGCTGCCATCATTTACCTGCTTCTGCATCAACTGGCTGAAAAAATCAGTAACTAAACCAAGAAAGAGAGGGATAGGGGGCAACCTTGCCTTAACCCTCTCCCTGATTGAAAAATACCCTGAAGGAACACCATTCACGAGGACTGAAAAAGAGGCTGAACAGAGACATTTCATAATCCAGTGAGGCCAATTATCACCAAATCCATACCATTGAAGCAAGAACTCCAAAAAACTCCAAGAAACAGAATCAAAAGCCGTATTTAAATCAATTTTTTAAGCCATGCTTGGCTTTATATAGCCCCGGTTACAACCCTTTAACAGATCCTGAACAAACAAAACACTATTTGAATTTTTATTCCTTTGATGAAAGCAACCTGCTCCCTGACCAACCAAGTTGGTGAGCACTCTTTTCAATCTGTTGGCCGTGATTTTTGTGATGATCTTATAAATGAAATTGCAAAGAGAAATAGGTCTGTAGTCCTCTACCTTTACGGAGTCATTTTTTTAATATCATTGATTTTCCGTGGAAGACTATCTGGCGTTCTATGGCTTCAATAAGGGTGGCATTCTTTGTTTGGACCGCTGAATGGGGTAAGATCGTGACGATTGATAATCTAAGGAAAAGGGGCAACTGTCTTGTTAACTAGTGTTGCCTTTGCAAACAAGATGGTGATTCAGTTGCTTATATTCTCATGCATTCTCCTATGGCGAGGGATTGTTGGAATCTTATCTTTTATCTGTTGGGTATGCGTTGGGTTATGCCTCGTTATCCTAAGGATTTGATTCGTATTTGGAGAGGATGCCGTGTGAGTAGTGCTGTTCGCGATTATTGGAGAGTTGTACCACTTTGTGTTTGGTGGTGCATTTGGAAGGAGAGGAATAGTAGAATGTTCGAAGGGAAAAAATCGTCCACGGCGATTCTGAAACTTCATATCATATGCTCTCTTTTTAGTTATGTGAAGAGGAAGTCCTGTTCCTCTTCCGAAGATTTAATTATTTTTTTGGCTTCTTTGGTGCCTCAAACCCTGGTTCCACTTTTGTATAAGGGATGCATTCCCCTCTTGAACGCCTTTTTATTTCAATTATTACTTATAAAAGAAAAAGTAAGAATTCATTAAAAGCGTTCAAAAGGGGAATGCGTTCCTCAAAAGCAACACAAGGCCAAATAGGACCTCTAAACCCTCAATAAATCCAAAAACTCTACAAGCTCATCCAAGGATTTACAATTTCTCCCTAGAATCCAACAAAAAAGGGGTGCTAAGAATGGTTACGGATTCATTTTTTCTTAGGGATAAGACAAATGAAAGTGCTATCAACCCCTTGAGGAAGGGTAGAGGAAGAGGAGAAGAACATGACAGCTTTAATTACATCTTGCTAAACTATACCCTAGTACCTTTGAAAGAATCTGTTTGGGAACCCATCAGGCTCTGAGGCCTTATCGGCTTATCAGGAGGAGGGAACTGAGGTTGATCAGTAAGCAAACCAGAAAACAAACCTAAGTAGTAGTCCACTTTCTGTCTTCTAATGGTACTTTGATCTGAGGAGCATACATTCCCACTTTGAAGGATGGAAATGGCATTATAAGCTCTCCTTTCTATGATTTTTCTGTGAAAGAAACTTGTGCATTATTCCCTTCATTTAGCCATTGAATTCTGGATTTTTGAGCCCACATAATTTCCTCAAACTTGAGGGCTTGTTCCAAACTTTCTCTGGCAACCTTTTCATTCTTGAGAAGAACCAAGGGTCTAGCTGCAGGTCATCAAAAAGCTTTTCTCTGCTCTCCTGGAGGAAGATTTCCTTTTCCTTTATTCCACTTTTCCCTTAACAGGCCTCAAGCTTCTTCGTCAGTTGATGAATGTGATTTCCCTGGAGTACTGAGCCCCAAACCTGAACTATGTAGGTTCATCTTCCTCCATCAATCACCAAAATTTTAACAACTTGAATGGCTTTGGACCTAACTGGCAGCGACACTAGTATGCACAACCATACCATAGTGGTCTGACAAAGAAACAGCTGAAAGCAAAATTTTAGAGTTGGGGAAGCTTGCCAAACAATCATTGTTTACTAGTTCTCTATCCAGCTTTGCCCAAATTCTCATTTTTTGTGAACTGATTATTGATCTAAATCCAATTCCCATTCACAATAGAGAGATCCCGGAGACCTCAACTAGCATCTTCTGAGGAATAAGCAAACCCCCAGCCTTTTCACCATTGTATCTAATCATGTTCCAATCACCAACAGACAGCCAAGGCCCAAGGGCCATTTATCAACTGATAGTGCTGCAACAAACTTCGCCATAAACCCCTTGGACAACTAAAAATAGAAAGATTTGAGTCTCAGAAAGAAAAAAGACTTTAATTTTTTTTTTTTGATAAGTAAAAAATTTCATAGGAAGGCGCTCAAGAGGGGAGCCCTCCCAAAGGAATACACAAAAACACCAAAGGCGACAACTAAAGCAACAAAGGGACTTTAATCAAAATTGCTTGATCAGATTCAATTGACACAGCCACTGAAGAAATATTTGGATTCCACCCAATCCAAAATTTTTCATTATCATGCGAATTATAATTAGCTGCCCATCTCCATCTAGGCATAATTGTAGAACTAATTTTCTAATTCTCTGAAAATTAGACCTTAGTACTTATCAAAAAAAATTCTCTGAAAATTAGACCTTAGTCTAGTTTCAACTAGAAAAGCAAGAGAAAGATTAAAAGAGGTCAACCAGTTTCTAACCTCTTTGTGCATTTGAGACCTGTTGAGGTCTCTAACATTCGAAGAGCCTAACATTGATCTTTAGACTTTGGTGGAATTTTACCACCAGCAGCCCTAGCCCAACCCTTTAACAAGAATTGGAGTCTCCTTCTTCTTGGACTGTTTGATCCAATTATCCCTATAGAGTCCTTACTTCTGTCCTTATTTGAAGTATCAGCAGCATTGGCCCTCTTTGATGTAGGATGGATAGAAACAGAGGTGATAGAGAAGAGGAAAGATGAGGGAAAGACTAGAGAAGAGGAGAGAG